GTATTACATTATTTCTCCATAAATACGTGCTGCTTAAGGAACGCGTTGCCTGAAGGAGTTGGCGGGGGGGTGAGGAGGGGGTGTATAATTGGCGATCAAACCATACAAGATGAACCATCCCACATTTGCAGATCGTAGGGCTACAAACTGGATCGCCACGCCAAGCGTTGCAACTCGGAGAAAGACAATGATGCGCATGGAGAGGGGAACTACAGAGTTAGGAATGAAACAAAAGGGGTGGGCGAAGAATGTGTCTGGTTGCAGGGGTCAGGGGAAATCGCTTTGGCTTTTGCCATGGACGTGGTAGCGTAAGGGGATGAAGGTGATTTCAGTCCATAGGGCATTTTAATAAACCAGGGGGGAGAAACTTTAAACACTATAAGATCTGGCTCGGGGGAAAGCAGCTCTGTGTTTATTTCATACTCGTATACAAGAATGTCGGTGGTGTCCAGGTTGCTTTGGGGGAATATGGAGGCCATTATTTCGTCCTCCCCTCCCACTTTCACTTTCAGTCCTTCTCAAAACACCCCTGGCATGTACTGGGTTTAGCACCGTTTAGCACCGTGGCTCCTGCAGAGATAAAAAGTGAGCAACCGTCTGCCCCAAAGGCGGCTGGAGGGGTAGATCGCAAAGAATATTTGCTCCCCAAGCAGAAAGGGGGTCGGGATTGCAATTTGGGTGGGAAATATTTTGGTGAAAGCCTCCGTTAGCCGGGATAAAGCGGTGGAGCAACCGAGAAATGCTGGAAAAACCGGGATCACTGGAAAAATTGCTCCCTGCAACTGACTATCTGCGTTGTTTGCCATTTGGGGATGTTGTATGTAAGAGCAGTCTGCCCTGTTTTGTATGCAGTGCAGTCTGGCGAACTCTCTGTGTGTCTACACACACACACCATATTGTGTATGGATTACAGAGAGAGAAAACCAGCATTTATCTCTGGCTTCTCCATTCAGGTGCTTTAAACCCCTGGTGAAATTCTCTTGAGCTGCAAGTGTATAGAAAAAATTACACCCGAGAGTCTGGGGTAGCTTATCTTTTTTTATTATTTTATTTTAGGCGTGAAGTTAAAGTGCAGCCAAACTTTTGAGCTGTTGAATGGAATGCCCTGGGGCTGGCATTGGGAAAGTTTAGCTGTGAGATTCGGCGTAGTCAATCCCCTGGCAACTTTTATTTGCTCAGATTAGCAGATCAGAGCCGGTCACAATCCGTGAAAATATCCGCGATCGTTTGTGATTCACGCCGCTTTAGATCTGGATCCTTCGAATCCGTTTCCACTGACAGGTCGTTCCCAGGTTGTACCGGCCATTTTAACCCGCTTCCTTTTGACACGAGGAGTTTAAAAGTAGCAGAGTTCGATCATTGGGAAAAGATGGAAATGTTAGACATTTATTTTTTGCTTGAGTCTCTAAAAACCAGGTGCTCCAAAGAACCCGGCTTCTATTTAGGCAGCTAAATAAACCAGTCAAAGATTGTCCCCTGGCAGCTGCGGAGTGAGATTTTGACAATCTGGCAACTTCTGTGAGGTCAAACCTGGCCTGATCAAAAAATTCCTGTTAAGAAAGCAGCTCAGCTCTCTGTAAAGAGACCCCCATCTCCTTCTCATCACATTACCCAGGAATAAATCGGGGGGGGGGGGGAGGGGTAAATGTATCTAGTTTAACTTAAAAACAAAAACAAACAAACAAAAAACCCAGGCAAATCGAGTTTACATGTCAAAATAAATTCTGAAACCCTAGGAATGTTCCTGGATTTCCCCTCCCGTGAGAGCCTGTAACACGAAGTTCCCCTTTGGGAAGTCGATGGAAGCTTTCAACCGGCAGATGCTTCCCTTGAGGTGAAAGGGAGACTCCTCAGTATCTCCTCAATGGGGAGAAAGGGGTCGGTAACAGACGTACCTTTCCCGGGCCGCCCCGCCGGATCTTTGGGGAGCACGTTGCTTTTAAAGCCCGGCGTCTGAACAAAGCTGGCTGGGTACAATGGGAACCCCCTGGCTGCGGAATGTAACAATCACCCTGTGGTTATTTTGATGGGTCTAATCGAGGGAGCCAGGTTGGGGGGGGGAGGGATTGTTGGGGAGACGTGAAGGTGCATGTGTGGGTGGGGGGGGGGGGCAAACGGGGTGCTCTGATTCTGCTCAAGATAGAAACCGGAGCAGCCCCAAGCCGGCAAAGCAGCTCCCAGCTGTCCGGGTCCCTTTTCTCTTTGCACCGATCGCACCAAAGGGCCGCTCAGAGACGTGGCTAAAGCGCCAACTAGCGGCTGAGTCACATCACTTCACTTCCTCGGCCGTTCAGCTTGGGTGTGGCTAAGCCGTCCCTCCAGGTTTTCCAACGCGCAAGCGTGGGTGGGGGGGTGACAACCCCCCCCAACATCTGTGAGCCCCCACCCCCACCCAAAACACGCCCTTTAAGTGGAGCCATGGAGGAACTTGGCTTCGTTTGAAGATACCCCTTCTAAAAAAATCTTTCCAAGAGATAGAGCAATTGGGTCCCATCTATCCGCGCCCTGCTGCCAGGGCTGTATTCTTCCCTGTTTTCAAACCTCTCCCCAGTTACTGTGTGTAAGTATAACCAGACATTGGTGCTTTCCGTGGAACATGGCTATGTCGATCTCTTTTGTTGTGGAAAAGAATAGGAATGATTCTACGGACCTCAGACTTTCACCTAAAAAGGGAAGGATTGCAGCATTGTTAAGAGTTTATTAGACACACACACATACATTAAAATCACAGCTGTGAGATAAATAGAAATCTGTTATTCTGGATTTCTCCCTTTGTGATTTCATCCAGCCGTCCGCCCTGTTCCTTCCCCTCTCCCCCGTCCTCCCCCCTCCCCCATTATTTTCCATTATTGTGTTTCAAGACGGTCTAAGTTTGAGGTTTCTTTTCATTTAATTTTCATTACGGAGGAGTCTAAACACACACACACGCACAGAAAAGCAACTTTCATCATAAGCATGTTTGGATCCGTTTTAATACATCACCAAACCATTCACAGATATTTGGTTATTGAAAAATCATAAATCGGCTTGGAAAGCACAAGGGGAAAAAACGTTAAGCTTAGTGAAATTGACATGGGTTTCTTCTGTTTAACAAACATTGCAATGTTGGCTCCTTCGTCAATTTCCTAGATTAGAATTCTGTAGGAAAGGATCAAAGTAAACAACCCTATAAAATGATATTGCTAAAAAGTTCCAGGGAACAGATAGAAACTGGAGGGATTTGGAAGACAAAAGCCCCTAATCGAGTTCAATGTGCCGCAACCTCAACCTTCTTTCAGGATCTACGACCTCAAAAGTGTCTCATAACCTGTGTTTATTTATTATGGGGTTTTTTTTTTTTACATAGTCCAACGAACGATTTACCCAGCCCAGAATCTAAACAGTTTCTGATCTGGTGTAGACTGAATGGCTTGCTATACAGAACATGCCATGTCCCATAAAGGAATTTGTAAAACCGACCAGCGAAGCTGTTGAAGTAAAGCAATCGATCCACCTCCCTGGACATGATGGTGCAGAAAAATAACTTCCTTTTAGAAATAAGTCAGCAGTTAAACTGTGTGCGACGGTGCCTCCATTTCCATTAGACCCGTTGGTAATATTTGTGTTAAAAATGTGACAAAAACACTCTTTGATTTTATAGACCATTCTGCGGTGCATTTCGTTGTATCGGTTTTTATATTTTATTAGAAAGACGACTCATCTGTAAAACAAAATTGTATGCAAACATGAAACAAAAACTACAAACGATCAATTAATTCTCCATTTTATTCTTGCAGAATCAGTATCACTTTGCCCCCTACAGATTTTCTTGTTAAAATTCCATTTTGAAAACACGTGTTTCCCTGGTTTTAAATCCAAACAAACGCTTTGGGAAGGATCATGACTGGTTTAAGAGTTGCTAAAATAGACATTTAAAAAAAAAAGGATAATAGTAAACAGGACTTTGTTCTGAAACGATCGGCATTTCTATCTGTGCCTCTGTCGATTTCATTTTGGGAAAGTAAGACGGCGGAGGCAGCATGTTAATAAAATGAAAGCCCCCCAACTCCTGTGCACACTGTATTCTTAGGGTCAGGTGTCAATTTCCCTCTGAAAATACATTACACAGTGGCTAAAGCTATCCGACTTGTTGCAGGTATTAGACTAATCATGAGGGCTGTCGGTTGGGATCTTTTGATACACAGCGGTTAGTTGATAAGTAGTAACTAATCCCTAGATCTCCCCCCCCCCCTTCTGAGGCTGGACCATTTTAAAAACTCCTAGCAAATCTGTCAGCCTCCCTGCCACCTCGCTAGCGCTTTGCGAAGGTACATGGGATGGCATCGCTCTGCGGTGTCTTGGCGAGGTCGGTTCTTATTTTGACCATTTATTTTTGGAATTGCTGGACCCTTTCCGAGGCGGCAGGGCTGCGTCTCGGCTTCAGACACGTCGAGCTGGTGGGGGCCGCCATTTAGCTGCCTGGAAGCCGCGTATTCAGGCGGACATCTAGAAGAACTCTCAGGTTAAGAGCCATGTGTCTCTGCAGCGTGTGAAAGTTTGGGGAGAATCAGGGACAACTGCCGCCTGTGGCGTCCTTGTTGGCTCTTTCGCACTGTGCTGCGTCCCGCAATAGGTGAGGCCGCAAAGCAACGTTTTAATTGGCTCCAGCCACTTAATGAAGCCCCGCTGAATGGAGCGCTCTGTCTGTGCGTGTTTTTAATATGCCACCGGTCCGCTAGGTGCGTCCTCCTCCCAGTCTGGGGCTTGGGGGCGGGGCTTCCCGCTGAGATCCCGCCTCCCTCTCCTCCTGGCTCCGCCCCCTCCTCCCCTTGCTTCTATCGCTTTCCCAGGCAACGTGTGCAAATGGGGGGGGGGGGTCCCCAGCCTGTCCTGGTCCTCTCCATTGGCGCTCCTCCCCGTCAGTCAGCGCACAGCTCCGCCCCATGCCTGCTTTGAGTAAATAGGGTATCTCAGAGCCTGCTGCGGACACTTTGGGTTGGTGTCAGAGCTCCGCAGGGCTCTCTGGTGACAGGGGGCCGCGTCTGCCATTCCAAACCACCACCACCACCTGGGAGCCACAGAAGTGGGGGTGGGGGAGCCAAGCTTTGGGGGTCCGGGCACTGGTCAGGATTGGCGCCCCGCAGCCGGCGAGGACTGTGTTGGGAACGGGCAGGAGAGGACGTCGGCGCTGTCGCTGGGACCCGCTTGGCATCCCCTCCTGCGCGGGGCCGGGGGGGGCTGGCGGGGGCGCGTCTCCTCCCAGACTGGGTGGCCGGGCCCCCGGGTGTCAACTCGCGCAGCTCCGCGGGCAGGAGTTTGGCTGGAGGACAGGCCCCGCCAGCGCGCCCCGCTTGGCAAAGCGGCTTCAGCACCAGAGAGGAAGGAAACCTCCCGGGACCCAGCGTGGGCTCCGGCCAGCTGCACGGAGACCTGCCCCCTGCCAAGGGACCCGGGCGCGCCCAGGCTCTGTGTGTGTCCCGAATCGCCCCGAGCCGGCAAAGAGGGGGACTCGCTGCCTGACTCCAGGGCCGGCTGCTGCGGGCAGGGAGGGAGGAGAGAGCCCAGGAGCTCGCCACCCGAGCCCTGCCTCCACGCGACGCCAGCCCGGGGCAGCGCTCTCCGGGGAGAGGCCAAGTGACTGGGGACGGCGCCGGAGCCCACGGGTGACCCTCAGGATCTGGGGTCCCCCTTCGCCCCAGCTGTGACTCGACCTTGTCCCCCGGCTCCTTTGGTCTGCGGGTCCCAGCCCCCGGCCGCGGCGGAGGCGCGTTTCCTGAGCGCAGGTCACACCCCGGCTCCCTGGGCCGCTGCTTCTTTCCCTGCTCTCTGTACAGCGCTGCCCCGAGAAGCTGCATCGGACCCGGCCGGCCCCTGGCTTGGAGAGGGGCAGCTCCGCGCTCCGGGCGCCTCTCCGCAGCTCCGCGCCCCTCGCTCGCCGGCTCTCTAACGCCCGCTGTTGTGATGCGTATTCCCGTAGACCCCAGCACCAGCAGGCGCTTCACACCTCCCTCCACGGCCTTCCCCTGCGGTAAGATGGGCGAGAACAGCGGGGCGCTGAGCGCGCCGGCGCCGGGCTCCCGAAGTCGGCCCGAGGTGCGCTCGGTGGTGGACGTGCTGGCGGACCACGCGGGCGAGCTGGTGCGGACAGACAGCCCCAACTTCTTGTGCTCGGTGCTGCCTTCACACTGGCGATGCAACAAGACCCTGCCGGTGGCCTTCAAGGTAAGCCAAGGGGCTGGGGGGGGGGGATGTTTCCAGACCAGCCAGATGTGGCTTCTTCCAAAGGGATGAGCTAAAACCCTGTCTGATCCCCCTGTGCAACGGCTGGGGACGGGAGGAGAAGGATGAGAGGCTTTTTTTAGTGGGGAGGATATGTGGGGAGAAACTCACCCACGAAAATAAACCTTAATATTGACACCCCAGCTCACCCCCCCCCCGTTTCATTTTAAATCAGTTCTGCCTTCACTTTCAGTGCGCGTATTTATTTTTAATCAAGCTTTTGCTTTGCCCTGCGGTTGTAACATCTCCGATATAACATAGGGTTAGGAGCTCTCAGGGAACTTTGAAGTTTAATGAGAGTAGAGGCTAATTACCTAAGTGGCAGGGGGAAGATCTGCTCTGAAATAATAAAGGGAAGAAGTGAACTGCAGAGACAACTGGGCTACATTAAAGAGCAGCTTCTTTCCTTTCCATGTTGCTTCCTCGTTGCTTTTGTCCCGGTTGTAATGAACTCAGTCAGTTAGGTCCTGTGGGATATTTAAACATTAAAAATCGACCGGGTTTCTGTGTCTGGAGGTATAGACTGAACGGAGGAAAAACTATCCGAGGAAGAAAGATCGCAAAAATAAGTGACAGTCACCTTACACAGATCCAGGCGAGCTTTCCCCACGGATCCAAACTAAGAAGCCACACAAGTCTGACAACGGAAAAAAAATATTTTCCCTTATTCTGGATTCATGATCAGGCCAAACGATAAAGGCGAACATAAATCGTTCGTGGTCAACTTGAACGCGAATCCTTTAGGGATTTATGGAGTTTCTCTTCGGTTTCTTAGGAAGAATGGGTGTTAAACTGTAGACACGGGAAAAAACAAACAAACCAGGAACTGAAGGCTGGAATTAATAAAGAAGGACGAAAGTCTTGCAGAGCTAGCTAAGGAAAGGCGACAGAGGAAAGTTTCTTTATGGGGGACACATCTGTAAAATTTTTGGCTATGCACACTATACAGAATGTATTGCAAAAAGTAACTCTGTGTGTGTGTTAGGGAGGTGTGACTAGAAAATGTATCTGATCTGAACGTATGGGGAAGGGAGTTAATATAAAAATGATATAAAGAAACTGAAAACCAAACCCAGCACATTCAGAGCGGTGTTGCTGTGTTTCGGGGGCGGAGGGAAGTGATGAATGCTATTTTAAAACTCGAGTTTAATTTCTTTTGCTCAAATGATAGATCTGCAAGAAAGCAGACTGAGCAAGACCAGGAGATAAACCTAAAGGGGCTTGACGCCATTGGTGCAGATGATCTTTTAAGAGCACAAACGTTGAGCAAATAAGCCCGGGGAAAGGATCAAAGTAAGAAGATACATTTCAGCGATAGGAGTGTAAATATAACTTTTGAATGTTGTCTCCCCTCTCAAACCAAGAAAAGGCTGACAACGAAAACAAAAATCCCTGCTTAAAAAAAACCCGATGGTCTTAAATAGTAGGGAGATCTCTCACTACAGAAGATCTTAAAGGACAAATCTGGAAAGTCGATGGGGAAATACGAGTTCCTTTATTTCTGAGAGTCTCCGTTTGCCAAAATTCTAAAGCTTAAGAGCTTAATCAAAGGAGAACCCTGGTAGGTTTCGATCCAAAGTGATTAGAGGGAAACTGTCTCTGCAGAATAGCAAAAGTGAGCCCTCTTCGCTTGAGGCTTTCAGGATGTTGCAGCCCCTACATTCAATGGCTTTTAAAATATTCTTCAGCTCCAGCGGTTGATTTGACCCCTTTTACAAACAGGTATTTATATAAACTAGCGTGGGGGCAGGAAGACTCCCTTTAGCAATTATTTGGAAACGAATACAGGCCCGGCTGTATGTCGTAGGACTGAGGAGGATAGTTTGTGTTGGCTTCCGTAGCTGTTTAGAATAACAGCTGCACCTGGCCCTTTTAAAGAATGAAATCTTGACAATATTTGCAATGATTCTGTGGAATTTTCTGCTACAGCTGCGTGTGTTGTGGCGTGTATAATCGGGAGCTTAGCTTCTGAAGTGGAAGTTAAAGATGAAATCCTAGAGTCTGTAACTGCGTGACATACCATGAAATTCTTGAGGTGTAATTCTCTTCTATTCTCGGGTAATGCTATTAGCGACCAGTGCAGGTGGATTATATAGAGATCGATCTCTTACGAGAGAAATCCTACCATTTTTACATAGGCAAAATTTTCACTGAAAATTGTTCGCATTTTAACAATATTTCGACTTTGGCTTTAAAAAAAAACAACAACCCAGGGATTTCAAAATATACAAATATGCCAATTAAGAAAACAGGGGGATCATTCAGCTATCAGGACATAATTTGCCAGATTTATTTGGAACTAGAATTTGGAAAGGAACTAGAATTCTTTTGAATTTTCTTAAAGAAATATTTTTCAGTTTAAATTTTTTTTTAAAAAAATCAATACTTTTTTCTACTCAGAATGACAATTCCTCATGTCTGGTTGCAGAATGATGAGCCTGCTTTGATCAGCTTAATAATAATATTACGAATAACGAATAGTATAAAATAACCTTGTTGCACTGATCCCTAGGTGGTAGCCCTTGGAGATGTACCTGATGGGACTGTAGTAACGGTCATGGCTGGAAACGATGAGAATTATTCTGCAGAGCTCAGAAATGCCTCCGCAGTCATGAAAAATCAAGTGGCAAGGTTTAATGACCTGAGATTTGTTGGGCGAAGTGGCAGAGGTAGGTAACTGTCACCGACGTAACTGTACGGTGCTTTGATTTTAAAGCAACTGCAAATCAGCGTGGAGATGTCTTTGTAGAAGTGGAATGGCCTCCTAAAGCGTGGGGAGGAGGGGAAATGATTGATAACTATGTGTAATTTCATGAGAGGCACCACAATTGCCAGCTTTTGAAATGAGTGATGCGGGACTTGATCATGCTTCCGATGAAGTCAATGGAGGTTTTGCCACTGCTTTCAATGGAATCAGAGTTGGGCCCATTCAATTATTATTAGGGTCAGTAAATGCTGGATTCCACTGGTTTGCATTACAGCTATTCTTTTGGGCTTTACCTACATTTATGCACAAACGTCATAAGTGAAGAGGGAAAATAATCTATTTTTAACATACAAAGGTGTGGATTATTGTAACCTAAATCTGCTCTCTTTTGTCTCTCACTCTTTCACACTAAAATTGCACAAAAAGACACGTATCCATTTTTACAGACTGCAGACCTGATGCAAAGCCCATTAAAATCTATGAAAAGATCCCCATTGGATTAATCCCTAAATGGATAGCAGCATAAAGGTCCAAATGTCTCTTCAGTACCACTTTAAACAGTCACTTATACTACATCTGTTCAGGATTTATAAGAAGGGAAGTAAATATTTTCAGTGACTGGACATCGTCAGCACAAGCTTATAACTATTACTAGCGTTTGTAGATGGAGAGATTGAAGTGTGACTAATACTATTCCCCTACCCGACCCTCACCCCTCAGAGAAAAAGAAGTTATGAGTAAAATATATCATTGACTATTATAATCCATTTACGGTCTTTCCAGGTTAAATGCTACACTTATTAGGAGACGAGTTAAACAAAAAAAGATTTGAAACTCTTTTGTGAGAAGAAATTCCAGAGTGAAGTATATACCTTGACATAGTGTCATATTCTAAAGGTGTGAGACTAAACTAATTTGTTAAATTGAATAGTTATAGGACATTAAAGCAAGACAAGTTCAAATTAGAAATAAGGCACAACTTTTTAACTGGGAGGGTGATTTACCATTGGAACAAACTACGAAGGGAAGTCTTCAGAGCAAGACTGCATAGAAGATATACTTTAGTCCAGCATGTTATTGGTCTTAATGCAGGACTAATGGGATATTCTATGGCCTGTGATATACAAAAGGTGAAACTAGATGATCTAATGATCCCTTCTGGTCTTAAAAAGCTATGACACGATAATTTAACCTTAAACGAATCATAATGCAGCAGACGTACAAGCCAACTTTTCAAAACAACCATCAAAGAAATGACATTGTGCTATATCACTATCTACAGTTCTACTGTGAATCCCCTTATCTATACTGCAGGCCAGACAACTTTTGAAGGCAAGTATTATATCCCTTACCGTCATGCATTATTCATTACAGCCATATTTGACATCGAATTTTAAAATTTCATCATTGCAGATTTAAGCAGTTCGTTCGTCTCAAAAAGTTAAACCCAATATTTTAGTGGCAGTGTTTTCTCTAACTTTTCAAATGAATACATACAAATGTCAAAGATAGTTTGACTTCTTGGCATTAATTAAAACCAGTGATGTTAAAAATTATTTGCATGTAATAATTGTTTACTTGTTACTCTTTATGAAACCTGAATAGTTTACATTCTTTCAGACATTTCCGTTTTCCTGTTGGCTCCTTTTCCAAGTTGCAGATTTTCTTTAAAACTCTCCACTTAACTGGTTGCAGGTTGATGGATGGAAAATGTTTTTCTTTTATGAAAACAGCTTTCATTTCTGTAGTCAATTATTCTCTGAGGCACTCTCTTTTTTCCATCTTTCTTGCACAAATTTCCAACCCAAATGAGTAAATGGTGGATTCTCTGTAACTTGAAGTTTTTAAAATAAAGGTTTGAGGACTTCAGTAGCTCAGCCAGAGGTTAGGGGCCTATTACAGGAGCGAGTGGGTGAGGTTCTGTGGCCTGGGATGTGCATGAGGTCAGACTGGAGGATCCTTCTTGCCCTATGAATCTAACCCAATCTCAGCATGACTCTTGAATTCATTATGAACTTTCCTCCCCTGGGTCCCCATGTTCATGCTTGGAAACATCAGGAGTTCACTGTCTCTTGAAAGCACTTAGGTGTACAGTCTGTCTCCCAAATCATGGACGTGATCAAAGCCCATGAAAATCAGTGGAAAGACACCCATTGGCTTCAATGGACTTTGGATCAGGCCCCATGTGCACTTACGACTTAGGCCTATGTCAAGACTGGACCCTAACATGTTCATCTTGTGCTGAATAATGGGGACAATCCTGCTTTCCTTGAGCAGCAAGGAAGTCAATAGGAGTTTGGGGGGCAAGAATGCACAACCTGGGCCCAATGGTCCAAATTCTTCTCTCTTCGATCTAAAATAACTCAGCTGAGCTCAATGGAGTTACTTGGAATCTGCACTGGATGGTGTGTCTGTTTTCTAATTTATCTATACATCACTTATCTGTAGGTATGTGAAAGTACCTACGTACATGCTTAACTTTAAACATGCGGCTAAAATTGAGCACCATGCTTAAGCGCTTTCCTGAATAGCGAGGCTGAAAGCAGAATTTGGCCAAATATCTTTTTTAAAAAATTAGTGATAGAAATGATTTCCGTCAGGTTTCTGCTTTCTCTGTCACACATTGCTTCCTCCTGTTTGAGCTTTTAAATCTCTAAGAGGGCCAGATTCTGCACTTGTCTACACCAACAGAAATTTGGAATGTTGTACACGAGCCGAATTTGGGCCTCTGATTCATATATATTTCCATATCAGCTATATATAGATGCATAAATTGTATGTGTAAAACCCGATTAGAATCTACTCCAAGATCTCATCATACTAGATTCTGGTATATTATTATTGTTATTAAGGTAACACTGATAGGCACCAACTGAGATTGGTGCCCCATTATTCCATGAGCTGCACAAACACATAGCAAGAAAAAGTCCCTGCCCCAAAGAGTTTACAATCATAGACGAGACAAAGAGTGGGGGGGGAGAAGAAAAATATTTTTAGCCCCATTTTACAGATGGAGAACAGAGGTACAGGGAGATTGAATGACTTGCACAAAGATCCATTGAACATTATCTTGCTCTGGGAGCGGCCCCATTGAAATCAGTAGAACTCCTTATGGAGTAAGGTACTATTCAATGTGAGTAAGAGCGTTTGGAATCTGGCCCATAATTAGCAATTTGCCCAAAGTAGGAAGCTTGGGACTTGAACTGAGGCCTTCTTATGCAGTCAGACTGCCTAGAATGATTGATGTGCATAGTGGTGTGTTTGGGGAGGGAGATGGGTTGAAATTACTCAAGTTGTACTTGTTCTAGTCTGTCACCAAAGAAGGATGGCAATGAGTAAATTGATGCTGAGTAATAATAATAATAATAATTTGCACTGTATAATGCAATTAATCTGAGGATTGCTACTGTGCTTTAGAAACACTAAGCATCACATATTGTTATAAGAAGAATACAGGTTGCTCCCACTGAAGACAATGCCCCCAGTGAGGGAGGAAAGTGTTATTATGAACCCTGTGTTACAGAGGGTGAAACTGAAATTCAGAGAAGTCAAGTAATTTGCGTAAAATAGGCAGAGCAGGGAATAGAACCCAGGGTTTAAATCTCCTAAATGTCCAGGCTATGCATTAGACCAGACTGATAATCTGAACGTTATTGTTCATGTATTTGTGCTAAGCTTTGTAACAAATAATGTACTGGAAGACTTTTTCCTCCTGTTCTGTTTGCGAATTGCACGCAAACAGACAGAAATTGTCTCTAATCGTATTGCCTATATTTGAACTTGCTCCATGAATAAATTCTGCTAATAATTCCTGATCTGTAAATTGTTTCACTGAGAGTATTTTGCTATGGGATGTTCTCACTGTGTTGGCTAGTTCTGATTGGATGCAAAGGTCACGTCACGTTATTTGTGTTTCCTAGCCTGCATAAATAGAACTCTTAAACATAGGATGTGAGTGCAAATACTTTGCATTTGATACTGAAATTTACTTTGGGGAAAATTCACCTCTATGCAGAAAGCCAGTACAAGGTATTTGCTCCATTTAAGTCCTAATCTGAGTTCTTAAACTCTGTGCTGGCTCTCTGCATCAAGGTGAATGTCACCCTTTACATGAATATTCTCTAGTATCCACTTAAAATTAGCCATTTTCCATTATCCTGCAAGGAAATATTTTCAGTAGAACAGATGTTGGAACGTTAACCCACGGGGAGAGACTCCGTTTTTTTAAATTTCTATTTGATTTTAGATGAATAAATCATTTAATTTGTCACTGGTGTCTGGGGTGCATAAAGTTTTTGGATAGGGCATCCCTTTAAAATTATTGTAGACATCTAAAAAATGATATTGGAATGATTTTTTTTCTGTACAGTGTTTGCTCAGCTATAGTTCATGACAACCAGTGAAAACGTGAGTGTGTGTGTGTGTGTGTGTGTGTGTGTAATGAATGCACAAGGACCTAAGGGCAGTAAAATGGGATTTGTCCAGACGAGATATATGGTAGCAAAAATGCTTTGTGGCTGGTAGTCAAGGTGAAACAGCTACAAACTCATAACACAAGCAGTCCAGAGAGCTGGCAAGAGTAGTGTCCATTATAAGAATGGTTTTGTTAAATCCTGCATTCAGGCTAGACAGTGAGTCTGGTGATAATATCAATGAGCCAACACTGGTGCTGAGCATAGTCCAATCCAGAAGGGCAGCTGTGATCTAATGGTTAGGGCGTAGGGCCTGGAATCAGGACTCCTGGTTTTCTCTTCCAAGCTCTGAGAGAATATAGTCTAGCAGTCAGAGAAGGCAGTCGGGAGGCAAGATTCTTGGAGACACATCTTCAGCTGGTGTCAGCTATGGCAGTTCCCACCCGCTGAGGATCTGTCCCTTGGGTTGTATTCTTGGTTGTAGAGAAGAGTATTGTCTAGTGGTTGGAATGATGGGGGAGGAGTTTGGAGACCTCATTTCCATTCCTGGCTCTGCTGTTGTTGAGTCACCCCGTGACCTTGGCCAAGTCATTTAGCTTCTCTGTGTCTCTGTTTCCCCCTCGGTAAAACAAGGATAAAGATAGCGCCCCCCTTGGCAAAGTTCTTTCAGAGCTCTGGATGAAACAAAGTGTGTCTATATCAGTGCAAAATATTGCTACTGCATTATTAACAAAGACACAGATGCTCCTCGGGCCGTTTCACATTGTCCCTATCTAAAAATAAACGCTATTAACTTGGAAAATGTAATTTAACCCCTCATCCCTAAGACTGGTATTTTAAATCATTTTTCTGTCAGCTTGTCTCTTGATCTAGGTCCCTCACCCCAGTACAGCTTAGTGCTGTACAGACAAATAAGCAAATGAGTACGAACCCACAGTCTGAATAAGGCAGATCATCAGAGCCTCAAACCCTCATTGGTCTGCTTTTGGTTTTGCAAAACTGAAAGCAAGGGGATTGGTCTGGATCCTGTTTCCTTTTTATCTTTGCTCCCAAAGTTCGGGGCCGTTCAGATGCAGGGTTCAGCTCTTTTGGCCCCTGTCTCCAGATAATGAGGCGAAGAACGACAACAGAACAAAGAAGGGAGGGAGGGTGGGGAAGAACAGAAAACAAGAGGCAAGAGAGGTCTGCTCAGAGAAGGACGTTCGTGACAGTAAATTCAAAAAGAATCAGGGCTTCATCATGCAAATATTGACTACTGGGTGCAGTGCCAATGAAGTTAATAGAATTACACATGGTAGTAAGTACTACTCTTGGTAGTAAGTGTTTGCACAATCAGGTCTTTATATCTTCTATCTATCTATCTATCTATCTATCTATCTATCTATCTATCCTTATCATCCAAATGTATGTATCTAGCATTTGAAAAATACTTTGTTTTTATGGGCCCAATTCTGGAACCCTGACTCATGCGGAGAAGTTTGCTCATGCCCTGAGCTCTTTCTGGGACCGGTGGCACGAACAATGGTTGCACAGTCGGGCCCTCGGTGCCCAGCCACTGGGGAGCAGAGAGCTCCAGGTCTGCGAGTAATGATGGGAAGTGAGCTGACAGCACTGGGTTTCGAGGATTGGATGTGCATGGGGAGGAGGAAATGCCCTGGCACATGGGAAGAAGGAAGCTGTTCTAGGTAGAGGGGGAAAATAATGTACAATGTTATAATGCACCAAAGAGGGCTCTGGCTTTGATTCTGAAATGGGCCCAGATCTCTCAGTGGGAGGTTTGCCGTTGACTCCAGTGGGACCAGGGTCAATTTCTTGGTACCTGCCAGCAACAAAGGGAGCCTCGCAAATTTAAATATATGAATCCCTTAGTTTCATTTGTACAGCAGCATTTGCGGCTTCATGATCATTTCTGAAATCCGGGCCTAGGCTTTCCAGGCCTAAGACCGCACTCTGCTTACTGAAGAAATCAACCCAGGTGCATTGCCTCTCCTCTTTTTCTCTCTCCCCCTTTAGGAAAAAGCTTTACATTGACGATCACAGTGTTCACAAACCCCACACAAGTCGCTACCTATCACCGAGCCATTAAAGTGACTGTGGATGGACCCCGGGAGCCAAGAAGTAAGTTATGTATTTTATTTGGAAGTGGGTGAGTAGGAGTGTGTGTGTGGACCAGGCTGACATTACCGCGTATATGTGTGTGAAAGATGCTTCCTTGCCAGCGCACAGCCCAGTCAGGTGGTTTTCGGTGCAGGTTGGCACAAAGTGCTGGCCTTTTTATTGGTCAAAGTGCATGCCAGTGCTGGCATGTCATGAGAGCGCTCGTAAGAGAGGATGATTTGCAGCATGTGCAGGGTTTCTTTGAGATGGTGAATGCTGTAAGCACACGCTGAATATGTGTGTTGAAAGCTGCCTGTATACAACCCTGTGTGCTTACGCAAGTAGCACTGTGAATATGATTGGTGGGATACGGTTTTACTGCTCCGTCCCTGATAGCCATCGGGATGCAGGCAAATGCTGTCGGCTTAAAAAATAACCACTGGCTCAAATCCTGAGCTGTCTCATTGAAGCCAATGGTGCCCACCGCCGCTTAGTAGTCGAACCCTAAGCAAGCCCATTTCTTTACATGTTTTTCTGAGATTATTAAAACAGAAAGGGCTTTCTAAGTCCCGTTTCCTTTTCATGGTTCATTTTCTCTATGCATTTCTCTCCATCAGAGTCATGCAAAGCACTGAAGCCAGTTGCCCTCTTTCGTTCCCAGTCAGTTTCGCTTTCAGGTTCCCAGCACTGCAGCGTTTGGTTGGCATGTGCTGTCCGTTTGTTTCAAACTCTCCGCACTGCTCAGTCATGGAACCACCTTTGTTGCTTTTAGGTTTTGTTTTGATCAAATGTAAATTCTGGACAGAGCTGAGTTGAGGGCATCTCAAATTTGCCTGCCCCACATGACTTGAACCGAGCTGGTTTGGGCCTTCCTAGATTTGCATGGCTGCTCCGCTGGATTTAGGAGCGCTGGGAAAGTCCTCTGCGTTAATCAGTTGGAAGAATTCTTCCAGCATTATTATTTATTTGGACTGCGGTAGCACCAAGGAGCCCCAGTCATGAACCGTGTGTGCAGAGGTGATGCGTGTGTGTGTGTGTGTTTGGGGGTGTCATGTGGGGTCATGTGCTTCCCCATCCCCGATTTGTTAGTTGGCTTGTACTGAGCATGCTCACACAGACTGAGCATGCTTAGTAACATCAGCTGAAGCCACTGCCCTCACTCTGCCCTCCCCCCTCCCCCGTGGGTTGTCTCTGGCTGAATAACGCTATATAGGAGCATAACCCCCTCCCCACCATTTACTTTGCATCACTTCTCGTATTTGCAGATCAAGCCCTTTCTTCTGCTCCTTAGCTCCCAGTTGCCACCTTTCTGCTTTCTGCCTGGCAATGAACTGGAATGCTTTGCCCAGACCTTACATTCCTTTATTGAGGATTACGCAGTGCTACCCTCCTGGACTATAAGGCAGAATTTGTTCTCTTTGGCTGTAGAGCTGTCAGTGTCAAGATTAAAGGGGAACATTTTGATCCTTCTAAATATGCTTTAGAAAATATTTTCTGTTGATGCTGTGGCCATATGTTCCTCTTAATGCCAGACCAGGATCAGAGCGTAACAAGCATCAGGGCTCTGTGTGAAATGGTTTGACTTGGTTTAGTTTTTGTATGCGTGTGGGCGGGAGCGTTGGTGGTGTTTTTAAAAAATTTTGGACAAGAGCACAGAGGTTTTGAATGTTGGGGCTGGCTTGATGTGGTAGTTATTGTTTGAAATGGTCAGAGGCCAGGGGATGCAATTTTTTAAAGCAACAATGGGGTTTTTCCCTATTACAGTAGTGCTCGAGCTGAAGTTGGGGTCCTGTTGTGTCTGGCGATGTACATACACATAGTAAGAAACAGCCCCGGCCTGAACAATTTGTAATATAAATAGACAAAAGGTGGGAGAGGAGTTTGGATAAGGTCATCGTCAGGTTCAGAACCTAGGTCTTCTGACAATCCATTCCCTGTACCACGTTGCCTCTCTAACAAAAGCTTTCATAGTTCATATTTTTACAATTTGGTTTTCTTTGATTGACTTCTCCAGTAATCAGCACTTGCCAACAATCAGACTGAATCATTTCCACTCTTCCTTTGGATTTCAATATGGAGAATTTACATTAAAGATTCTTAATGGTCTGAAGGTAACTGTGTGGTGTGTGGGCTAAGATTTCCTAACCGGCTGGGTTACTGTGGGCTTCAGCCAGAAGCAACCTCTCTCCTTGGTTTGTTTGTGTGCGTACATTGCAGTTACTTTGCTGTAAAACTCATGGCTTGTTGTCATGCTCCTCCTCTATGGGAGGTCGTGTCTAGTGAGTAGAATCATGGTCGGGGACTCAGAAGACCCGAGTTCTATTCCTGGTTTTGATGCTGGGTGACCTTGGGCAAGTCACTTCACCTCTTTATGCCTCAGTTTCCCCTTTATAGAATGAGGATAATGATATTGTCCTCCTTTGTGAAGCAGTTTGAGATGTATTGATTAGAGCTTAGTATTCTTCTTCTTATTAATCCCCTGTTTCTGGCCATTAGCTGATCACTGCAAGGGTAGCAATGGTCTCCCCACACCCGCCCCATCTCCAGCATTATACAGTTGGCAGAAAGCTTTGTCTTTGTCTTTTGCAGCACCAGGCGTCGGCCAGTGGTGGAAGCGGGGTTACAGGGCTGGGAAGGCCATTGGGCCAGCCGGGTATGGAAAGAAAGCCATCTTTAGTACTAAAAGAATCAGCCATTTGTATCATCTTCTGCAATGGAGAGAGGTCCACATGCAGATGTTTTTGTAGGGTTTTCAACCAGAAATACACCCCAGCCCCTGTATACAACATCATCACCAGCCTGCAGGAATGGGTGTGGAGTACCTCTGAGGCCACGCATATAGGCTGGGACTGAGGTTTTGATTTTTTCTTCATCCCCAACCCCCATGTCTTTTGAACATTGAGCTTTGTCCTGGGTTTTGGTCTCTGCAACTGTATCCTCAAGCATCTCTTTAAACTAGAGATGTGGTCAGATCCCAACCCCAGATCAGAACATCCCTGCATTTTAAGGAGAGGAATCTGCATCCAGGGGATTTCATGGGAAATTGTGAAAGTGTTTTTGTTCCAATTTGGAATGTAAACACATTTTGAAATGTCAGAATTTCCAGCAGAACTGAAATTCCGTGTTTCAGCCAGCTCTAATAAGTACATATGCTCCTATGACAGGTTTCAGAGTAGCAGCCGTGTTAGTCTGTATTTGCAAAAAGAAAAGGAGGACTTGTGGCACCTTAGAGACTAACCAATTTATTTGAGCATAAGCTTTTGTGAGCTACAGCATCCGATGAAGTGAGCTGTAGCTCACGAAAGCTTGTGCTCAAATAAATTGGTTAGTCTCTAAGGTGCCACAAGTACTCCTTTTCTGTATGCTCCTATATCTACATTAGGTTAGACCAAAACCCAGGAGCCGCGGGTTGGGCTGGAAGTTGAAATCTAGCTTGTGGGGTGAATGTTGCAACGGAGGTATCTTCATCTGCTCTTTACCTGTTTAAATCCCGTAAGAACAAAAGAGTCAGGGCGATGTATTCAAGTCATCAAGGCTCTCATTTTCAGAGGGACCTTTATCTGGTCCCTAATTTTGCACAAATGGCAGGCACAAATAACAAGAGAATGTAGTAACTGATCTAATGAGATGCAGCCAGGAAGTTGGATTGGGCAAATCTCTCATTTGCACCTGCAGTTTTCCCCACCAATCAGTCCTGTGTGCAAAAGTGTGTGCGGGAAATGTGATGGGGATGGGTTTTGAAAAAAAGGCCATTCAACGAACGTGATGGGAGCTTTTGCAGCATGTACCCTCCCTCAGCATGCCAGATCATGTGCTGTTTGCAACGGGAAAGAGTTACTCTGAAATGCTGAGGTTGTTTTCTTTTTCATTTATTACTTTTATTACTGCGCTAAAATTGGTTGTGGGTTAGATCTGGAAATAACATTTCTTAAGCTGACACCTGAAGTTCTAAACAAATTGCACTTCAAATGCCAGTGTTGACATGCTTGTTCAAACAGGAAGTAATAAAATATTTGAACTTCCTGTGGAATTTCCTTTTTTGTTTTTTTCTTTGCAAGCTCTTTATTTAGAGAGAGCCCAAACGTCGGTAAACTGCAGCTCTTGTACAGAACTTTAAATATCCACAGCAGCTAGCAACCCACGGGAGGCAGAAAACTGAAAAATCAATAGTCTGAAGCTGTTTAGTAACATCAAATTCAACCCTGGAGTAAATTGGTACATCTACTATTGACAGTCCTGTTCACTGTACCTGCTTAAATCGGTGCTGAATTTGGCCCATAATATTGTTCTTAAACCAATCACTTTGAAACCTTGCAGGGACTGGGCGTTGATAGTGATGGTAATGGTATAAAAACCTAGAGAGATGTTAAGATTAGATAGCGGGAGAGGCAGTGAATTGTTTAATTTACCCTGCAAAACATAATGCCGAAATATGAAAGCGGCCGTTACCCTGAATTTTGCAAGCGCATGTCTGAAATGTAACAGGGCAGTTCCTCATTCTTCATGTGCCATTCATGGCACTGTTTAACTGGCCTGTAAACTATTTCAGGCTGGGGAAAATGTCGCCATCTCGCAACCTGGTGTCACAACATGCATTTTTTGCATCGTGTGATCACATTGTGTCATGAAGAATCATGACTGGGCAGAAAAAACGTCCCGTTTTAGATTTTTTTTTTTTCAGTTGAAAATTCTATTCTTAGGGAAACTCCTTCCTCCTGGTATGAGTTAGACGACCCATGTGTCATTGACTTTTTTGTTTGTGTTTGTTTGGGAGCAGCTGAGACGTTTGACATTTTTTTACTTTTGTAAAATGTCATCAGAATTGCCAACCGCCACCCAAACACTCCAAGTGGGGAGGGGCGGGTCACATTAAGAACAGTTCACACCGCAGCAGGAGGCTGGAGCAAACTCTCCCCAAAAGCCACCAGCTGATCCCACTTCTGAGCAACCAAAACCCTCCCTCCTCACCTGGCACAGCTCCCTTCAGCATCCACTGCCAGCCCCACAGATGTTAAACATCT